TAGTGCTATCGACATCGATGTGTTGCTACAACCGTAGCAAATAATCACAAGGTACCAATAGCAACTTTGTTACACACACGCCCAGAGAGCTTGTACCATCGGTACACTTAGTCATCCCAATCTCATACTTTTGGCCACCGAATGCTGTCACAGTGCGGATGAGCGTCAAGGCCTCCTCAGCGGCAGCAGCAGCGGCAGCATACACTACCGAGGACTTTCCGGCGGCATTCGATGTGAAACGGGCCATAATTGCACCCGATCTAATATGAAACGGAGGCAAAATGGAGGATTTAGGACATCTTGAATGCGAGGTCTGGTCTATGTGAATGTGCTGAGCCCGTTCAGTATTGCGTAATGAAGTGTGTGATGTGTAGTCAGGAGATCGGGAGCACGTTTAATAGTTGCGAAACGGTTGCCGTGGGAGTTGTCAGACAAATGCGCAAGTTTGAGACCTACAGACGGCCAATTTATGGGCATACGTTCGGAATTTGTGTCCGAAATTTATACACAGCAACATCCTAGCCTTCTCATATCAATATATATCGATGTAGTTATCCAACATCGCACTTCTTCATATGTGGAAAGCAAACAAATGTGAGAGTGACAATGATATATAGGAGCAGATAGATGCGCTTGCACTCCATGCGCATACACAGATCCAAAGTCTGCACTCGATAGGTCAACAACGAGCTTCGACGAGGCGAGTTCACCACATACCCTCCAATCATCGGCACAAACAGTGCACAGATAGCGGCTAGCTTCGGACTGAATACAAAGCCAACAATGATTCCCGAGGAAGCCATTCCTAACAGCATAAAGAGGAAACTGTGCGCATCACCCAGTGCTCGCTCGATGCGCTCCATGTCAACGGTGACATGAGACACAAGCTCTCCGCCCTGATGGGCATCGTGGAACGTCATATCTTGTGACAACAGGGACTGAATGTAGTGTCTGAGGCCAAGGTAAGGGTAAAGTCTGTTAAAAACAGGGGCTACGTGGCTTCGAAGGTGAGTACGTTCTTGATTACATTCATATGGCCTTGGTTGTGTGTACGTTCTTGATTACATTCATATGACCTTGGTTGGTCGATCAATGACATGGTGAGGTTCATTTACACTTGAGGCGCGTCAAAGAGACGCGGTGAGAACGACATGGCGCCGCCAAAGGGGTTCACGGATGCAGTAGCGAAGCACAGACAGATCCTATTTCCGCGATGAAAACCAAAAATACACACCAAAACACCGTCCGAGAACAGAAACACACGTCCAAAAACAAAGCCCGCGAAGAGAGAATGTTCAGCAAGACCGTCCGAGCAGAGCAAATATACATAGAAACAGCCTTCCTGTAGAGAAGGCCTTACTTTCGAATGCGGGTCACTGCCGGACGCGTAGCCAGCCCAATGACAACTCGCTGTATGCAACCGGCGACGAAGGCAATTAATCCCAAAAAGAGAAGATTGATGCACAGGCCATTCACGCCAGCCCGCAACTCCGCACGGGCGTCATTTGAGGCTTGGTAGATCTGAATGGATTTGGAACGGCAGTGAAGTGAGTGAGTGGACAGTGTGTAGATAGGTTGGTTGGTGAGGATACGAAGTTCGCGGAGGACTTAGATATGAATACAAAAGTTTGTTGAGCATAACATACTACGTGTATGGATACGACGCCATGTGTATATGAACCCGCTCTTAAAGAACAAACTATATGCAATGAAAAGAACACACGCTCACTCACTAGCGCAGAACTATGCATACATGGATCACGTTCAGAGTCCAAACTCCTAGATGAACTCCAAAAAACCCTTTACTCTCTAGAGTGTATAGTCTATGACTGTATGCTTCATTACACATCATGTAAAAAACAGTTACGTCTGCTTAATGCATGAGCTGAATATACCAATAAACATGCAAGGAACCATTCACAGGCATTGAATTATATGTGAAGTATGCTACTACCATACCTCGATTATGCCAAGAACACCCTGTATTCCTTCCTTCACTTCGGTTGAATTCACTAATAGTTCTCTCTTTAAATTTTGCCAGTCCACGTCCTTTATATCCAACACGAGATTAGACGGGTCCGAAGATTGCACAAATGTCGCGTAGTTTGATAGATCTTGTAAAAGCCTTCCAAACATCACACAGAACATGGGGAAGAGTACTCCAATTCCGAAGATTAGAATTAAGGCCACAGCTAGGTACGCCTTCTCCTTGTTCGTATGATACCTGAATGATATTTTTGGTGTGCAGCGATATATATAATTGACCAGACAGACAAGAAAGGTACATTTAATTTCAAGCTCAAGCCTGAAAATCCACATTGTGATAAACTTATTACCCAAACAATGTGTATAAAAATGATATAAGTAAGACAAACTAAATAAATACTTCATTCATAGCTTTTTTACGATACAAGTTCCATCTCTCCTTAGGACAGTCACCCGCCCAAACTTTACTCACAAAACACAAAACACAAAACACAAGCACACACACACATTATAT